CCACCAGCCAGCAGAATTCGCCTCCACTGCACAGCTTATATTAAAAGGAATCAAACTACAGCCACAGACAGAACTGTGAATTCGAGAACCCAGGGCAGACAGCAACTTGACTCTAAGGTTTTGGGAATGTATTCAAAAGGGGCAAAGCTCAGACTATAAATATCTGTAAGTTGATTTCTACAAGCAAAGAAATATGCTGTGAGAATGGCTTTCGTGGCCTCTTTCAGATGAAAAACCTTGGGCAGATGGTTTAACGTGAAAACAAAGCAATAATCAAAATGCAGTCACAGTGGCGATAAAAGTATTTCAGTTTGTAGTTGGGTGCCGTTTAGAACAAATGTTCCCAGATACCAGACAACGTTAAAATGTTCATTTGTTCGGAGCGGGATCAGACAAATGTATATATGTAACATTTATATATATAAAAACAAATGCATATATTTATGTCAGAGCTACATTGGCAACCATCTTTACTCAGGAAAAATGGTCAGTTATTTTGAGATTGTGTCCTTTCAACTTCTTTGATGTTAAAGTGTTCTTTCTTTATGTAATGATTTCCATAGCAAATGATAGTTGTCAATCTGTGGAAAGTTTAAAAATTGGCAGCCTCTAAATTTTGCTTTTTTTGGAAATGTTAATGCTACAGAAAATCCAAAAGCCTCAGAACCAAAAGACTGACTGTATTTTCTATTTTCTAGACCACTGGTTTGCTCTCATATAGACTAAGCTAACTTACCCTCCGTCAAAGAATGGCAGGGGTAGGGGTGGGAGGGTGGTGCTGAAACCTTCTACAAATTCTCAGACACAACCTCAAGGCAAACAGGTTTGTGTGGAGAGCCCACCATGTAGAAATCCACTGAGGAGGGATTATGAGATTTTCATGTTTCTTGAATGGAAAATAAAGAGGGAAAATAATTTAGGGGTGCCTGGGTGGCTCAGTCGGCTAAGCGTTCAACTTCGGCTCAGATCATGATCTCACTGTTCATGGGTTTGAGCCCCACATTGGGTTCTGTGCTGACAGCTCAGAGCCTGGAGCCTGTTTCAGATTCTGTGTCTCCCTCTCTCTCTGTCCCTCCCCTGCTCGCGCTCTGTCTCTCTCTCTCAAAAATAAACATTAAAAAATAAATTTAAAAAAAATTTTAGAAGGAGGAAAAAGAATTTTTAAAAAATCAAGCTCACCTATGCAGTATATAGTTCCATTAGGACCTTTGCTCAAAACCTGACACTTTTACATTATTTTGTACCATTACCAACAAACGAACTTTCTCACATGTATTCAACAGGGAACAGCTCTATGCCTCACAACCCTGGATAAAATTGCTTTTCCTAGAGGGTCCTTTCTGTCCTCAACTGTAAGACAAGGTTTGGACTCAATTGCTAAAGTCCCTCCCAACAGTAATATTACACACTCACTCGCTACTTCAGCTGTCAAATACTACTCCACTCCCTGGAATAGCTTGCTTGATGGGAAGGTTTGAATGGAGGTGAGGGAACAGCAAGGGTTATTAACAATTGCAAAAAGTGCCGTATGTGGCCGGTTTAAAGATCTACGTTCATGTATCACTGTGTCCTTTTTCTTCTTAACATTCTTATTTAATCCTATTCTCCTACTAAGAACCCACTGTCGCTCTTCATTATTCAATCAGGGACGTGTCACCAGAGCGTTTGCTGGGCCAGCAGGTGATGAAGAAGAGGGACAGGCCTGCTGTGCTCAAGAGTAAGTCTATGTCCGTGAAAAGAGGATGGGGCCACTCAGCTCCGGTACCTTAGAGCTATCCAGAAGGGCCACACTGGGAAATCTTTGAGACAAGACAGAATTCTGACTTTTTGAGTGTATAATCTCTAGAACGTTTTAAATAAATTTTTATGTTTATTTTTGAGAGAGAGAGAAAGAGAGAGTGGGAGAAGGAAGAGAGAGAGGGAGACAGAGGATCTGAAGCAGGCTGTGTGCTGACAGCCGTGAACCTGATGTGGGACTCGAACTCACAAACCATGAGATCGTGACCTGAGCTTAAGTCACATGCTCAGGCGCCCCTAGAATTTTTATAGTTGGCAACACTTGAAATTTTGACAACTTGATGACCATACAACCATTCCAGCTGACAGGCAGGCCGCTGGATAAAAGTTCTGATAGTCAAGATTCTGTCACATAGCTCTGACTTATTTCAGGGTCCCCAAACACATTTTTCTTTTCGTCACGTTCTTGGAATCAGCAGCTGAGTCCAACACTCTTGATTTCAAGATGAGGGCATAAGAACACAGGCTTTGAAGAAAGACAGACCTTGATACAAGTTCTGATCCCGTCACTTGCTACCTTGTAAAAGTTACTTAACTATTTTGTACCTCAGTTCCCCTAGCTTTAAAATAAAGTCACTAGTTCCTACCTTCCAGTTGTTAAAGGGTTGGTTCCCCTCCTTTCCCCTATTCCTTCCAGGTGGAGGGTATCTTTGGGCACATCTTTGTGTTCCACCAGTGTCTCTTTCTCTGCAGACCACTCTCCTGGATTCTGCAGAAACTTCAAGGTCTGACTTCTAACTCTCTGATGCCCCCCTTCCAGACCAGTTCAGTGTGAAGGGACCTCTCTGCCTTACCCTCTGTAAGGATTTGTTTTTGCTTTCAACAGGAATCTTTTTTCTTTTCTCTTTCCTTCCTTCCTTTCTTCTTTCTTTCTTTCATCTTTCTTTTTCTTGCTTTCTTGCTTTCTTTCTTTATCTTCTTTTTCTTTCTTCTCTTTCTTTCTCTCTCTCTCTCTCTCTCCCTCTCTCTTTCTCTCTTGTTCCTTATCTCATTCTGGATTTCAGAGAAGGTATTAAAAATGATCAACTCCCATTTTCCAATTCTAACCTCAACTAGAAAGAGTGAAATTTTTTTGAAAAGAGACCATGCTCAGAAATTATACAGGGTTCAAATTTTGATCCGTTTTAAGCATCATGCCATGGATGGAGCTATAGAGTCCCCCTGCAGGATACAAAAGTTACACACAGGAGAAGTCAATCTTGGAAAAAAGGTGTATTTTGGGAGCACCTGGGTGGCTCATTTGGTTAATCATCTGACTCTTGATCTCAGTTCAGGTCTTGATCTTAGGGTTGTGAGTTCAAGCCCCATGTTAGGCCCTCCTTTGGGTGTGAAGCCTACCTTGAAAAAAAAAAGGAAGACAGGTATGTTTTCAATGATGGCTTTTTTAATACCAACATGGAACGATTTTATTTTATTTTTTAAATTTTTTTTTTAATTTTTTTTTCAACGTTTATTTATTTTTGGGACAGAGACAGAGCATGAACGGGGGAGGGGCAGAGAGAGAGGGAGACACAGAATTGGAAACAGGCTCCAGGCTCTGAGCCATCAGCCCAGAGCCCAACGCGGGGCTCGAACTCACAGACCGCGAGATCGTGACCTGGCTGAAGTCGGACGCTTAACCAACTGCACCACCCAGGCGCCCCAACATGGAACGATTTTAATAGCCACAACCAGGAACCTCGTTTTCTTCTACCCTGATGGTTAAATAACAACAATAACATCAATAATAATAGCTAGAATGTATTGTCACGGCTGCTTCCTCTTGTACCCCAAAACATGGCCCTAGTTCTGAATTGCTAATAAGATCTTGCTCTAATTTTGCTCTGGGCTGTGTCCAAACTTGATGGTGAAATGCAGTAGATACACCAAGGTACAAGGAAGCCCCAGGAGTGTTTTTTGTCAAAGCCTTGCTTCAGTGATAAAGCTTGCCCTCTAAGGAGATAAGTAATGCCCGCCTGCAACAATCCATTTCAATATCTGTCCAGTACAGGTTTCTCTGGAGATTTATTTGCGCTAAGCTCCCATGATGTCACATAGAGGCAGTGATCTGGAAACAGAGAAGTGTTTGGGGGATTATTTCGATGACTAATTGGTCAGGGCCAGTGGGAATAGAGGACACAAAAGCAGTGAGCCTTTCTTATTTGGGATAAATGATCGGCTGTTAATTATTCATATGACTTCTGCAGCCATCAGAACCGGCCATACACGCACATGATGTGCCCTGAGTCCAGAAGGAACAAATACTGTCATGAGAATAAAACGTTCTTGTGTGTGCTTAGAGGGAACTGTCTGTAAAACTTTGAAAACTTGGTTATGCGGCCAGAAAAAAAGTTTGAAGAACAAAGTGAATGTTGTCCTGCTGGACTGTAACTTAAGAAGACAAGCAAAGGGCTGGACGGAGGAGGGCAGCCAAGGAAGTCATTTTATTGATGCTACTAGACTAGGTCTGAGGGCTCTCGCCACACTGTCAGTTCACACCCCCCACTACCAGCAACGAACTCCCCAACACCAGGACAAAGTCTTTGAATCCCTACACCCTTTTTTTCTTAACTTTTAAAAACTTTAAAAAGTTTATTCATTTATTTTGAAAGAAGGAGAGCACCAGTGGAAAAGGGCAGAGAGAGAGAAAGAGAGAATCCCACGAAGATTTAGTGTGGAACCCGATGTAGGACTGAAACTCACAAACCGTGAGATCATGACCTGAGCTGAAACCAACAATCAGACACTTAACTGTCTGAGCCACGCACATTTGACAACACACATTCCACCATAGGTTTTAGAGACTCCCTGTTACTTCTAAACTGCTCCTTGTAGTTATTTTTCCAGGACAAAAAGGTTTGGGGTGGGCTTTAAAATATGATTTCCGGGCGCCTGGGTGGCGTAGTCGGTTAGGCGTCCGACTTCAGCCAGGTCATGATCTCACGGTCCGTGAGTTCGAGCCCTGCGTCGGGCTCTGAGCTGATGGCTCAGAGCCTGGAGCCTGTTTCCGATTCTGTGTCTCCCTCTGTCTCTGCCCCTCCCCCGTTCATGCTCTGTCTCTCTCTGTCCCAAAAATAAATAAACGTTGAAAAAAAATTTAAAAAAAATAAAAATAAAAATAAAATATGATTTCCCCAAAGTTTTGCAGGTCTCTAGAATAGTGGTCAGAATCACTTTAAGTCGATCAGTGAAACAAATAAAATACAAGAGTCTCAGATTTAAAGTTTCAAGTGAAATGTCACACTTTTTTTTCAGGGGCTTATAGGAAGGAGGCAGGGGTTATTCCGGTCACCTGTGGCTGTAGATACCTCTACTTAACCTGTGCCTTCAGCAACCGAACGTCTGGTCATTTCACCTACTGCCCATTCATTCTGGCCCTTGAGAATTCTTCTTGAGAGAAGCCTCTCCCAGTGCCTCATCGCTGATTCGGGGATAGGGTTGTGAAGGGCTTATCTCATAGTATGGCTGGTCCTGTGAGAATGAGCTTCCTCTGAGCCCAGAAACTATAAGAAAGAAACAAGGAAAGGAAAATTGGAGACTACTCAATTTTGTCTTATGGAAATTAGAGGAGTCCAGTGGTGAAATTTCATCAAGATGAGAACTATATAATTTCCCTTATAAGCCGAAAATAGAGTGTTAAGGAAGCCCTGCCCTGTGGGCAAATCACAGTAAAAGTCAAAGGTGGTTAGTAACGCTACTGACACACTCAAGCCTTCCTTCCTTCATTCACACATGGCAATGTAGTCCACCAGTTTTCGGAGACCTGCCTCTGGAGTGGGGATTGAGAGAGAGGCGGGTGGGGGGAGAGAATTATATACACCAACCTGAAGAACTTGTTAATATTTGTCATTAAAGTAAAAGCCAAAGTCCTTCAAAAGACCTACCAGGACCTCTGGGGCCTGGCCTATCCCCTCCTTTCGTGCTCCCTACTTTCTCTCTCTCACTTACTCCAGCCACACTCTTGGCTATTCTTTGAACTTGCCAGGCTTTTTCCCTTTCCCTGGAACAGCCTTCTCCTGAATATCCACCTGGCTCCTTCGCCCCAGCCCTTCCTGTCTGAATTTCACCCTCACCTACATTCCCTTTTCCTCACCCTCTGTATTGCACTCCACTTTCCATCTGGTAGTCTCTATATTCAATTCCTACCTTATTCATTGTGTCTCTCCTGACTACAATGTAAGCTTTCCGAGGGTAGAGACTTGCGCTAAATCTCCGGTGACTAAAATGGTGCATGGTAAATTCTAGGCACTCCAGTACATATTTGCTTAGTAAATAAAGGTATGAAAGAGTGGATGGGACCCCAACATATGTGGACCATGTTCATTCAACACCTGTGCAGAAATGTCTTCTGTGATGAGGTTTGATATTTTATTTTATTTTATTTTATTTTATTTATTTTATTTTATTTTATCTTAATTTTATTTTATTTTTGAAGTTTTTTTATTTTGAGAGAGAGAGAGCATAAGTGGGCAAGATTCAGAGAGAGAGGGAAAGAGAGAGAGAACCTCAAGCAGGCTCAGTGCTGACAGCTGGCTCAGGGCTCTATCTCACAAACTGTGGGATCATGACCTGAGTTGAAAACAAGAGTCAGATGCTTACCAACTGAGCCACCCAGGAGTCCTGAGATTTGATGTTTTAGGAAGAACTTATATAAAACATGACTTTATACAAATGACAGTCTTTCCCACCTGTTCAGAGTTTAAAAACATGGGCCATTTTGTTACCCAAGGTCTTTCACACAAGCATCAACACAATAAATTCCTTCAAGAATCCAGGGCCAGGAGGCTCTTCCACAGTGACACTTATTTGCATCTTTTAAAACTTACATGCAGACCCCACAGTCCCTTTCTCTTAGCTTCCAGGAAAATAACTTGATATCATTGTTGTTACATAGGAAGACTGTGTGTGTACGTGCGTGCACACATGCAGGAGGCTGTTCTAATTAAAATGATTTGCTTTCACGGTCCATGAGCTCGAGCCCCGCATTGGGCTCTGTGCTGACAGCCCAGAGCCTGGAGCCTGCTTCAGATTCTGTGCCTCCCTCTCTCTCTGTCCACCCCCCCCACCCCCACTCTCTCAAAAAGTAAATAAACATAAAAATTTTTTTTTAAAAGTGTCATCAGTAGGGGTGCCTGGGTGGCTCAGTCGGTTGAGTGTCCAGCTTCGGCTCAGGTCATGATATCATGGTTTGTGAGTTCGAGCCCCGTGTCGGGCTGTGTGCTGACAGCTCAGAGCCTGGAGCCTACTTCAGATTCTGTGTCTCCCTCTCTGCCCCTCCCCCCTCATGCTCTGGTTCTCTCAAATAAATAAAAGTTTTTAAAAAGTTAAACATAAAATAAAATAATCTGTTTACAAAAGTAAACTTTTCCATTTTCACTTGCTAATTCTATTTTCTACTGACACAAGCATGTGTATGTATTTTCTAACTCCTTATTATGTTGCATGGAGTTAGAAGTGATGTTATTTTACTGTCTCCTGGGAGACCTCCTGGTCCTTAAAATTGCTTCTGAGTCCTCTGAAATGGACGGAACTCTAAAAGAGTTCAAATACCATTGTACTAGAATAAACCAAAAGGAGAGTCGTCTCCCAGAACACTGGGGAAGGGGGGCAAGGGGAGATGGGAAGCTGAAGGCGAAGGACGACCCTGATAGGAGAGGGGGAATACTGTGCCACCCTGCCTCCAAACCAACCCAAAGGTATCCTGGAATCTCCATTAGTCTGTTGAGAGCAGCATTCACGTTGGCCTCTATCCAAGCAGGTTTAGTGGGAAAAGTATTAACGCCTGCAAGGTGGTCCCACAGCAAAGTCCCTGAGGATAGAGGTTCCAGTATAGCCAGGGAAAAGCTATAGGAACAGGCCGATTCCAACACCAAGGTGTCTGTTATGTGAAAAGGCACCATATCATATACCAAACTGCAGAGTTAGTATGGCAGCCGGCAGAGAAATGTGGAAACCTGTACGGCCCACCGATGGACACAAAATGAGCGAGCAGGGCTGTCCTCGGAGAACGTAATCTACATACCAGAACAGGCATGGGTTTGTTTGGGTCTAAGCCATGGCAACAAATTTTAGCTTTGCAGCTCTCAGAACAGCTGTACCGAGGGGCCTTGGGCAAGGCCGGGCCATGGGTTCCTGGACTCCCTACTCTGGGCTCTGTTGTATTATATCTTCAAACAACACCTAAGTGTTAAACCTTCAGTTCATTTGCACAGCGCAGCTAAGAAAACAAAGCAACTCCCAGACCTCCCTGTGTGGCTGCAGACAACCTTTCCCCTTACCTTCCCCCTCCCAGACTGAAGTAGTTTTCAATAGTTTGAAACGGTGGGTGGGGGTGGGGAACAAACAAACTTGCTCCTTACTTTCAGAGTGGAAAGCATTGAAGGAATGAATTATGATTAAACACAAAAACAAAAACCAGACTATTGTTTAGGAGAGGCCGAAGTCATTGCAGGGGGTGTGAATGGATGTATATCCATCAGCACAGACCTACAATCCCCACAGGTGGTTTCATGTCAGACTGGAAGAAATTTAGGCGGCCTTCCAGTTAAATGATTTACAAATCTCGCTCTTGAAAACCCGAGGAATCCAGAGTCTCTCGGATGGTTTTGCAAATTAGAAGTATTTCTGCTAAAAAATTAAGTTCAAGTGCCCAGTGCTCGCCTCTTGCCTATTTTATGTGTGAGGTTCTGAAGATGTTTCAAAAGAGAGTTACCAAAACAAATAAAGTGTACAAACCACTGATCCAGTTAATTTTTATAGAGAAGGAAGGTCTGGTTAGGATTGGTTAAGTGCCATTTCCAGGGTCAGAGAAATAATTAGTAATCAACCTGGCTAAACACCCAAATCCCTTACTCCTGACTCAGGGCAGCAAATCTCCAACTTACTCCCGCCACACACCCGCCAACCCACATTGGAGTTTATTTTGAAAGTTCAGGAAAATTAACACTCCTAATCTGGAATGATGGGGAAAAAAACATGAACTTACCATTTGAGATTTACTCACTCCGTTTGTAAACGTGCCCAGCCAGTGCCGGCATTCGGTGCTCCAGCTCAGGCACCAGCCACATCTGTGTGGGACACTGTGTCTGCTCAGCTTTCCACGAGCGCCAGACCAATCCTGGGGAGGAAGAAGGATGAAAGAAATCAGCAAAACTCCCCTCGTAGATATATTTTCATGCATCTAATTTTCAGAAACTGAAGCATGAGTCTCTGATTTCAGACCCAAGAAGAAGTGAGAAAAATGTTGGTTTCTACCAGTAGTCTCTGAAGACTCACCACCCTTCCTCCGAAGTATGTTGGTCTGGGGACCAACGGTGTCAGTGGCATCCACCGGAAGCTTATCAAAACTGCACGTTCATCGGCTCCATTTCAGTCCTACCAAATCATAATCTCAAGATCCTCAGGTCACTTGCAGATTAAGGTCAGAAGCACTGAGCTAGAACCAGAACAGGTGCTTCCCCCAAGGTGGTCTCCAGACCAGCAGGATCAGCTTCACCTAGGAACTTGGTCGAAATGCAGATTTTTTGCCCCTGCTCCAGACCAACTAAATCGGAAACTGTGGGTCTGGGCTCAACAATCTAGTTTCAACAGCCCTCCAGAAGATTCTGATGCTCAGTAAAGTTTGAAAGCCAACGGGCTAAAATGCGAAGACACGCACAACTCAGGACATTTACTCTAAAAAAAAAAAAAAGAGAAAGGGTAAACCAGTATTTCCCAAATTGTATTCTGTAGAATAAGGTTTAAAGAATAGATTTTTCTTTAAATAAAAGGGTCAGACATATTTAGGAAGTACATAGTTAAAACTTAATTGTTTTTATTTTTCATGGCAAGACTACTCAGCTTAAATGTGCATTGCAAATTTCTGAGACAGTTCATAGAGATTCTCAAATTTATTTTGGACGGCTGAAAATTTAAGCTAATCACTCATTCACATATTGATAATAGGTCTCATTTTCTGAACCAAGGATTAACAATTTGAATCTGTTTTTTGAGTAATATTTCTTACTGTCTCCTAGAGAAGAGGCTGGATAGGCTGTTTGTAGGGCTGGATGTTCGCATACACAATCTCATTTAAGCATTGTGACAATTCTCTAAGACATTGGAGAACTATCCTAGGGGGTGAAAGGGCACACTGATGAAAAAACAACACAGGCTCCAACGAGTTCTGTCGCTTCTCTAAGATTAGAAGGTTCTTAAGTGAGGGAACACCAGTCAAAGAAGTTGGTCTACTGGTCAATTGCCCTGGGTGCTGCCAATCCACGAGAAGCTCTAAAACATTGTAGGAAACATTATGAGAGAAAGTGATAATTCACTAGGGCAATTCTTGAGGACAGGACTTCATGGGGATTGATGGGATACTTTGCTACCCAGCTTAGAGTCAGGGATGGAGACTCCTAAGGGAGATTCTGGAGTAACACCAGCTGACTCCAGGCTCAGAACTTCTTTGCTGAGTGGGATGGATGAGTATGAGCGAGAGCTAAATGGGTCAGAGCATTTAAATGGGTCTGCTTCCAAGGATTTTACACCTCTTCCTTTCCTGCCAAAATGCTCAGCCTTCCCTCTGCATTAAATGTTGAATAAAAATAACAAAAAATGGGAAGCCTGGGTATCTCAGTTGGTCAAGTATCCAACTCTGGATATTGGCTCAGGTCATGATCTCATGGTTCCTGAGTTTGAGCCCTGCATCGGGTTCTGTGCTGACAGCCAGCCAGGAGCTTGCTTGGGATTCTCTCTCCCCCTCTTTCTCTGCCCCTTCCCTGCTCTCTGTCTCTCTCTTTCCCCTCGCCCCTCTGTCTCTCAAAATAAATAAATAAACTAAAAAAAATGCAACACCACTGATTTGGAGGTGACCCAAATGACTAGCCTGCCTATATAAACCTATTGCAAGTTCAACCTGAGGGTATTGATATTGACACTGACATAGATAGGTCTGTCAATGCCAGTGCCTGTGCACCACCTAAGCAGTCTTCTGTCTTTAAGCACTTGACACGTATATTTTGCTCACGTTGGTCTTGAGATGAACTGAACTCACACAGTTCCCATTGGCTTCCCATCGTAATTTGTGTGAGAGTGAATTTTATTACAATCCTTTCAAGATGCTTTAGTAACTTCCCCCCCTCTTGTTTGCTTTCAGAACACTTTGTTGCAACCTGGAACTCAAGCGAGCCCTGTAACCAAGTTATACTTCCCAAAGAATCTGAAAGTTAAGTCACACAGGTTTCTGCTGTGTAATAAATGTAATCATTACAAGTCTAAAAGACGCTATTTCATCAACGTTATTTTAGTTTGAACCAGTTTAAGAGCCTAAATGCTTAAGTCTTAAACCATAAAAGTCCATTCACATATTTCATAATATGTCTCATTTTCTGAACAAAGGATTAACAACTTGAATGTAAGAAGCAGGTGTGAGCACTCTTGATAGGTCAAAACCTTAACACCACCCAGACAAGTCTATAATTTCTGGGCACGGCGCATGGCATGCGTGAATTTTGTTTCAATATGTTTTCCATAGTGATAGCCTAGAAAGTCACAGAGCCATATCCTACCCAGACTTCCACTCCTAGTGGCACAAGTATTTGCTGATGATTGAAAGGTCATGCAAAACAGATGTGAGGGCAGTTGGATTTTTCAGCTATGCTTTAGTGGACTTAGCAGTGGTGCCTGCCATTACCAAAGAGCAGAGAGATTTTATTTCAATTGAGCCAAAGAAAAAAAAAAAAAAGAATCTTAGGCAACCTTGTCAGCATAATTGGACATATGTACAGTTGCTCACCGAGGTCTCACCTTTTCCACTCTTCACGCTCCACACTCACAGCCTGGAACTAACTTTGTCACACAGAGAACTGGGTGCCGGCCATCCTGACTCGCTTTCCAACATCTTATAAATAGGTATTGTCGACCTTTGTGTGTCGAAGCCATCTGAACTGCATTCCCGACAGCCTTCTCATTTGTTTGGTACCACGTTGGGTGTTACCTACACCTCAGACCCACTTTCATTATTCTTGTGCTTCTTGGAAACGTAGCCAAAGCACAAAGAACAGCAAAAGGCCCATTGCAGAGAGGGCTGCCATAGCCCAAATACCTTTGAAAAGCAGATGGTCCAATCAGAAACCTCCCAAATATTGGCATCTGTGTGGCAGGCAAGTGTACAAGTCAGACAGATGTGGCTTTTAAGTTTTACATATTCTATCTAAGTTAAATAACCCTTAAACCCACCTTTTACCAACTGTATATATGAGAATTGCCCCTTATTGATAAGAGGGACTCTAGGACAATGTGGATGAAATAGTAAATGTTCTCTCTAACCTAGTCGAAAGTCTAAGTGTGGAGATTTGCCACTTAGTAACTGCTTATTTTTAGAGAATTATTTCTGAGTGTTCATTTTCCCTTCTCTAGTACTTGGGTTAAAAAGACTTGACTCTCAGTTTCTCCAGTTATTAGAATCTTGGAGTGAATTAGCGTAACCCAGTATAACAGGTACAAAGTACAAAAATTATATGGTTCGGTTGGTTAAGCATCTGACTCTTGGTTTCAGCTCAGGTCCTGATCTTACTGTTTGTGAGATCAAGCCAGGTTCTGTGCTGACAGCATGGAGCCTGCTTTGGATTCTCTCTCTCTCTCTCTCTCTCTCTCTCTCTCTCTCTCTCCCACTCAGCTCTTTCAGTCTCTGTTAACAATAAAATAAACATTTTTTAAAAAGAATGTTTTAGTCACTTTTAACTGTAGGAAACAAAAAAAATCCCTTGGTTATATCTTAGTATACATCCAACAAATCTCTTAAATATTCAGAGCGTCCATTACATTGGATGTTTAGGGGTAGGCTTTGAAAAACACAATCAATGCTACATTATATTTACTTTGCATGTTTTTTTTTTTTCAACGTTTTTATTTATTTTTGGGACAGAGAGAGACAGAGCATGAATGGGGGAGGGGAAGAGAGAGAGGGAGACACAGAATCGGAAACAGGCTCCAGGCTCTGAGCCATCAGCCCAGAGCCTGACGCGGGGCTCGAACTCACGGACCGCGAGATCGTGACCTGGCTGAAGTCGGACGCTTAACCGACTGCGCCACCCAGGCGCCCCTACTTTGCATGTTTAATTCTTATAAGATTTTTGACAATCAGGGATGAAGAGTTTGTTGTTTAGGTTTCCAGTTCAGCAAGAATATACAATTCAGGTTCTGGATAATGGAGGTTTGGGTTTAGTGAAGAACATAAAGTTTTAATTTTGTACCCAGATGTGCCTATTATCAATTTGTTTTCAGTTCCAAATTCAGCTTTCAGATCCCGTTCTGACAGTGAACTGGACTCTTTAAGCATTGTTCCTTCACGGTGAGCAGTGTTGAGCTTTGTCAACTGTCAGCCAAGGAAACTACAGGAATATTGCAGAAGCCAGGGGCTTGTCTCTCTGGTTCCAAGTGCTGGGTGTTGCTTTTCCTTGCTCCAGCTGCAAGCTTCATCCACGGTGCGTGTGTGTGGGGACATCTGCTGGAGCTCTGCCCTGGCTGTGCCTCCAGAATGCACAGTCTTTCGGTAACTTCACATCCCTGGCCCGGGCCAGGCGACCGCCTTGCTGCCACCCTCTTGATTTGGGTACTGTGTATTCTAGGCCATCGCAGCCCTCAGCTCTCTGCGCACACCCACGGACTAAACCGTGGAAAGCTCACCTTGGCTTTCCTGCATTCTGGAGGATTTTTTCTTGCTCTTGGCAACCTAGGAACAGCGTTGGTTGGCTTCAGCAACCAGAGAAGTTATCTGCCATTCAGTGGGCTGCGACCACACTTTCTTCAACAAAATCTGATGTCCAGCCATGGGGAAGGGTGCTCATTGGAAATCTGTTCTTCCTCGGGTCCTCTGTATGTTGGGATACCCTTGGAGTTCTCTCTCCTGCTAAGTTAGGTGTGATTTCAGTCTTCTGATTGGACCCAGTCTGATCCACCAGGTGTAATCAACACACTTTCCCCTCAAGCATGAACTTATACTCTCCACAATGTATACTTTGTTGATATTGTTAAAGATCATCCAGAACCTCCTTGGATATTGAAGCACAAGCAAACTCATAGAGTCACATCATTGATTTATATCTTTCCTTGGGGCAGAAGTCCTGGGTTTACTTTGGTGCCTCTCAGCTTGTTTGTGGAGCTCATTTTTATCTAAAGCATTTATTATGGTACCAGAGAACTATTAAGCAGGAGTGTAATAACTTAACAGGGCAGGATAAATGATAGGTTTCAGTTGATAAAGCTAGAATTACTTTAACTTATATTTCAAAGTTCATACTTGGAAAGCTCCATGGGTTTGTCTGCTCTCCACTTCATTCAACTAAGGAGGCTTGAGATTGTAAGGATTCTCAAGCAGACAGGAATAAGAGACAACTTCCGGGATCAGATGACATCAATAATGGTCACCTAAGCAAAGACTTCTATTTACACAAAAACTAATATTGGTATGATGGGTCACCAGAGTTCAAGTTACTTACTTTCCTATTTACCAAGGGAAGTTTGGCTTATCAGTGATACACCGGGGTGGGGGTGGGGGGGTAATCAAAAGACACCTCTGAAGATATTATAGTCTACTAAAATTCTTTAAACAAACAATGGTATTTTTTAGTAAGTGCTTAGAATGGCACCAGCTGTGTGTGCTGTACAAGCAGAGAAAAAACAGAGGGTGGGGGGAGAAAAAATAAACCTAAGTATATTTGAACTAGAAAGCGAATGTGACAATTAGAACATGAAAAACTAATTTGAAACCCAATTATTAACCAGAAACTTTTTCCTTTGAAACACAGATGCATTAGAGACCATGTCAATCAATCCATGGACCCGGCACAGAAGTCATTTTCCCTGGGAACTATACTGCCTGAAGAGAAATTGAAAACTATACTCTCTGTGAATTACAAATTGTTTTATTTTTCTCCCTGAGGTCAGTGATCAGGTTTTCTGACATGGAAATGCTTTATTCTTCTACACTAAGCAATGGCTCCAAGCTTTATTGTATGTGATTACACGCAGTTACAAGCCCAGGGAACAGAATTGCCTTCTTGGCCAACTTTCATTTACCAGGGCTCCCCCAGTGCTCTGCCCTTAGTGCCGATCACTAAACACACCTTGTTTCTCCTCAACTCTGGGTTCAAGGTGTGGAAGCCACACCTTTCTTATTAATCATTGATGTAATCTTGCCACCTACTCAGCCTCTAAATCATGGAATAAAGAGTAAATGTTCAGTAATATAATACCGTAGACAAATGGTTTGTTCCAGATTTTCCTCATAAAGCAAACAGTTGAGTAATCAGATGCTTGCCACACTAAAAATACCTTTGCATATCTCCTTAGGAGAAGAAACACAGGCTACCTCTGACTTTTGGAGGGGAAAGGAGTCTTTGACAAACTTTTGGGCTTGGCGCTTCCTGAGTTAAATGCTCTCATTCATAAGTACGACACAAAACTGTATCAGTCTGAGATTTCTGTTGGGTAGCCATGTGTCCTAGCCCCTTTCCTCTTTTAAATTTTGAATACTGCAAAGGAACTGTTTTCCCCGGAGGCTCCCACCCTTGGGATGAGACCCCCTCTGCGGAATTTTGGCACCCTATTAATTAGTGGTTACGAGTGGGAGCTGCTCTCTCTCAGCAACTCCTATTCTGCCATCAGTCAAGTGTGATTCTGTAATAAATTCCCACGAAGCAAACTATTTCTGGTAATTCTCCCTAATTAACACCAGGCCCGCTAATAATACATCAGTACCTATGTGTTTCTGATATAACCAAGATCTTGTCTGAGAATACTCAAAAAGGGAAGCCGCCAACCTAAAGTAAGCTTTTGCTGGCAAAAAGGATTTTATACGTAGTTCTGGAAGAAAACCTTTGATAATCTTATACTGGGGACATTTTGAACAGAAAACACCGAACGACAGGGAGGCTTGTTTCTGGTTTGAGCACTGAATGGGGATTTATTGTGAACACACACTGTTGAGTCTTAAGCCTATAAATCTTGTACTGGATTACTGTTTCTTAACGAAGGAATGACAGATCTCTTATTTTGTTGGTGCATTTTAATGTGCAATGACGTGATTGATAGAAACCAAACAGCAGCTATTAAAATGTCAAATGCAGACTTGATGCCCTTATAAGTTTGGCTTCTGGAGTTTAATATACTGTGAGCAAATAGACTTGAATTTGCCTTTTATTTCCAATATACAGCCTGCAACAGAAACATTCCTCTTAACTTTAAACACTTGGGAAAAAAAAATCTGACTCAAATCAATAAACGAGTGAGGAATAGATGAGCCTATCTAGTTATAGAAAAGTTAACTAATGAGATTGGGATGAGTTAACCCTGAACGTACCGTTTGATTAAAGTGTGAAAATGTAGACAACCACTTACGTTGTTTAAATAGGATATGTGATACAAATAGTGCTTGATAGGACAGGTTATTCCAATAAACGGTTTCAGCAATGAGTATTTTTTTAAAACAATGGAACTTATTTGTTAATATACAACCATGCATTGTGTACTTGCTACATGCACAGCATAAACATGGATCAAAGCAGAATAAATGTGACACTTTTCAAATGTTTTGTTTCTGGGACATTTTGATAGGCAAATGTCATAAAAGAGGGATTCTCCTGGGAATTGTCATTTCTCTTCCGATCCTGCAAACCCTGTTATCCCCACGATCACTTTGATGGGACCCACATGCCACCCACAAAAAGAAAAACAGGAGAGCCTGTTTACATCACTGCGGCCATTTATTTATTATGTGCACATTAAGGTGTAACTATGCTGATTATATTTCTCATGTGGTGTTTATTCGAAAATATAGCCCAAAGCAAAACAGTACAGACATATACAAACTGAAAAATGTAAAGCAACAGAAAATACAGATCAACAGAAAGGCAAATGATATTTTGAAAATCCAAAGCCAGTATCTTAAAACATGCGGAGGATTAGGGATGACAGTGATGCCACATTAGATCCGTATAAAATTATTCAGTGTTTCCCCCTCTCTTATGTCTGAAAGGCCTCTCCTTTCGACAGGGATGATTAAAAAACTCTAAACGTTACAAAAATGTTAATACAACACTAGATTCCTACTTGAACAAGGGAGAGGAAGGAATTATTTTCTATGAAAGTGGTCCTAGTACACTACCCTGTGAAAATGGCACCATGAAAACATTTTTGTTGTAGATGACTTTTAACCATAAGGTTTCAACTGACAGTTGGAAGACTGCAACTCTTATCGGTCTTAACACTGTGACCAAATGACGAGGCTGTAGCGTTCGGCTGTAAATGGAGCCCGAATCCGTAAGAAATAGTATGGTGCTATGAACATAAACAGTGGGGATCCTTTCTCGGCCGCCACTCCAGTGGGCAACATTCAGCCCTTGGAAGTCTACAAAATGTTATAAATTGGAACCTGTCACTAGCATTTTCGAATTTGGGAAATACAAGTGGGTGATGCTTTAGAGTCATATACTGTAATTTTAATCAGTATTATACTAAGTACAGCATTCCAAAATATACATCAAGAAAGACTACAAGTAAATGCTCTACAGTAAAGAGGTAATAATTAAAAAAAAAATGCTACTGATCTGGAATATTTATAATCAGAAAAATAAATATTCAGGGAGCTCGCCAGAAGAATAAAGTGCTCTGCCAGTTATTAAAAGATTAATGCTGGTATATTAAATATGGCATTCCCCACTGGAAAATACAGAGATTCTTCTGGGTTATAATCAATATTTATTTCACAGGATTAACTGTTTTAGGAACAGATATAAAGCTTTGCCACAAAAGAGGACAAAGCACAAAGACAAAATGATAAATTAGGAAGAAGTAATGTTATCCTTTTAGGGACAAAATTTAGAGGAATGCAAAATTACGCTCCATGAATAGTGTGTATGAAGAAAAATCGAATAAAAATGAGATCCTTAGTGTAAAGTAACTTAATAAGAAATCCAGGTCAAATAAAACTCTTTAAAGGAAATACCTAAATGCCACTGACTTTTCAAATACTATCTTGGCACGGAATCTATAAAGGCAAAACTAAACAACCAAAAAAAAAAAAAATCTCTACTACATCAAAACAAAACCACCAATTTATATCACGTAAAGAAAGAGACTGACATTAAGATATGTGACCACGCACATTAGCCAGCACGAACTCTACCGGTGGTTTCAGCAGCAATGAGAAATAACGCACAATTCAGTCCCAGCACTCTGTTTCGAAAATAAAACTTCCTGCCTCCCTACAGATGCAGGGCGAGGAGGTAGTTGGGGGTTGCTACTGGTGAAGCCACTTCATGTCACCCTGTTCATTCTTTTATTCCCAGTTAATTATTATCTGTATATAATATAAATCTGCTAGGCCATAAATTAACAGCTTTCAGGACAGATGCCTTGCAAAGTTCTTAGGGAGGTTAAACAAATATTAGAGCCTAAAACCTCCCTCTATAACAAACACACACACACACAATGGAAGTGAAGTCGTTAGTGAGTTATGGGGCAGGGAGGGCTTGGGGTTCTGTCTCAACTTTAAAAGCACCTTGCCCCAGACAAATTGATATTATACCTTAGTGGGATCATGGGCTTGCATCCATTCTAGAAACAAAGGGAAAAACTATTCAATGTCATAATCTGTTTTCTCACTGGGCAAATATCAATACAATTCACAATTTCACCACAATGGTTGCTCTGTCTTCATGTGTTATCTACATAATTTCCCCTCCCCCCCCCCCCAAATACAGAAAACAAATAACGAGCCAGTCTGGGCGACTGATCATGTTTCCCTCCTATACTACCAACCTCTGGGAGTAAACGTTTTCCAAACTTCAAGATCACATTTGAAAGTGGTTCATTTATTATTGAGAGAGCTACTGAAAGAAAACAAACAAACAAAAATCCTAGATTTTATCACATCCCCAAGCCAATCTTTTACTTTTCTAATGCAGAATCAAAGAAAAAATTATTCTGCAAAGAGAGTTCTCGAACCTTTATCAGTCAGTAGTACAGATCTGAAACTTATCTAATGGACTTATTGTCCAAAAGGGGGGGATTTTTAAAAATTTTGGATACAATCCTCTGATTTACCATAATTCTTAACCACACTCTTTTCTACTTACTCTCTTAACCTCAGCATGAGGGAAGGGGGAAAAATGGAGTTTGACTAATATAGGTGATAAAACAATGAATACATAAATAGAAATGGCCATATTTTAATAAAAGGCAAAAAATTTGACATTTAGAAACTACATGGTGGCTTTTTGGAGGGGGGTAGATGAGAGAAATACCACACCTCCTATTGGCAGGACACATTTTGATAAAAAATCTCAATGGTCTTCCCCACTGGAATGATCAGCTAGAAGACAAAAAAGTACATACGGTTTTTTAAAAAACTGATACCTACTACTGATAAAATTCTGTTTAAACTATTTCCTGTTTTAAAGATAAGCACTATTTTTGAAAAAATACGTTTTACCTACTGACGATGCAAGGCAATTTTCATTGCCTTTTACAGATTTACTCAGAACTACCTAACAAGGAAAGAAAGTATAATCACCTCAGCCTAAATGTTAGAGGTTTTTATTCTAAAGTTTAATTCTTCACTAATTTATTCTATGATGAATTTAATAGTCAACCAGGAAATTGGCTTTTATAAAAGTTATTTTATGGGCAGAAAATAGAGGAAAAAGTAATCATAAATGCCAAACTGTCTCTCTACTTTACGAAGCCAAATATTTCCTCATAGACTTGGTTTTTAAAGCTGGAATTTATCCCTTCAGGGTCACTATTATTTTTCAAAACTCCTACAAATATTAAATCTAAAAACTAATCGGTAATTCTAATTCTTCTCTTTCTCTTCAAATTTCTTCTCCTCCCCTGAGCTGTTGACTTTCAAAAATTCACAGAATGAGCATGTTTCTTGCAAAGTGGCTTGTCCTTCTTGGAGAAAAAGGTCTGACCTTCCAAACTTTCGCAACATACCTGAAAAAGAAGCATTATTTAAAAGAATATCGTTATTTTATCAAATATGCCTAAGAAGGGGAAATGATTTTTTTCACCCACTGGATAAGACAAAGCACGTCAGTTGGTTGTATTGGACATTCTGATATTTAACCATTACTATGATATCTCATGTAATCTTTCAAAAGCAATGAAGAATGACTTTTTTCTGGAATGCATTCTGATTTATTTAAATCAGTGATCACTATTTTTCTTTATGATAAGTGAAGCACTTGGCTCTGAGGAAAAAATTAAGACATAAAGAGGTCACATTAAATATAAGTTCTCTTCCCAAATTCTAATCAATGCCTCCTGTTGTAGGGAACCAGAGCATTCAAAACAAAAACAAATACAACTGCTTTGCCAGATATTCCGAAGGCTCCAGACACACAGACGTAGACTGCCTGAGAATTCTTTTTAATTCATTTCTTTGTTCCTTATAGTAAAAACCCTGGTCAACATCTGGCTACTGGATGATGATACAGTCTGTTAACTATCTGCATTTATGTCCTCTTGTCTTTCCTATTGCCTTTGGTAAGTGTAATGGTCATGAGCATCTCTACCAGAGAACAGGAGCAAACAAATCTGCTACCAGTTGTTACATTTTATAGATACCCTGAAGTCTAAGAGATGGAGGAGGTGAACAAGGTCAATGGTCATGTTTGGGGAAATCCTTTGATTCCTATTAACATAACTTTTTCCCTTCATACAACGGGTATTGAGAATTATAAGATATATTAAACCCAATAAAAAAAAAGCAAATATCTGAACAGAATATCTCTATTGGATATTTACTTTCTAAATTAAAAATAAAAGTCTAAGGGCAATGTAAATCTCTCAATCTATCTCTGCCATTAAAAATAAAACCAAAAATGTGAAAATATCAAATACAATAGGTAAACTATAGGTTTATTATAGTCTCAAAAAGAAAAAAAATTATTCATGGACTATTGCTAAGGAAGGAGGCAAATCAACATATAGTTTGCTTCCATGCTTAATTCAACAATAGATTTTTTTAGAATTGTGTGTTTCTATTTCAAGTACTCATGTTTCCAAAAATTACTAAGAACACTCTAATAAAACAGAGTTTTAAAAAAATGTCAAGGTCTCTTACTGTTTTAAGAAATATATAGCTTCTCCTTATAAACATAAATTAAAAATAGGACCTTCTCTAAAGGGGTAAGCATCTTATTCTGTGCCAAGTAACTCAACATAATGACAAAAAATTTAATGAACAACTTTGAAGACCACTGTAAAAATACTTCTAGGTGTGAAGGTCTGAAAGATACAAAATCTGCTGTTTCTATTTAGTGCTTAGGTGAAAACTGGCCATACTTGCTCCTCTCACTTGGAAATAAGAGTTTACTTACTGAGCATACAAAGCAGGTGTCATGCCAGGTAAAGCCCAGGGCCTCCAGGAACATGTCGCCAGCCTCTATGGGAAATTCACATCCACGGCATATGGTACCAAAAAGGGCATAATAATCTGTATTGGGGTGGGGTGGGGGTAGGGAGACATAATTTAAACATGACAAAGCTTTAGAATAATAATTCCTAGAAAGCAGCAACAAAATTGGAATTAAATGAGAAGATGAAGTTACTAGTAACTGGAAAATTTTCAGAGGGTATGTTTTGGCTTGAGACACATGTGTACTGTGGTTCAGGTTACCTGTGGGGTAAATGCTATTTATTTACATAACTTAACGTCCTTTATTCTGTTTTTCTACGTAATACTTCTCACTTATCTCCAGCTACTTAAATGTCCAACAACGTATGAAGAACGACTCTGTTCTCTGATAAGCTATCAACAGACATGACTTTTAACAAAAGACAACAGAACTTCCCAAAACTAGCAACAGTAAGACTAAAGAACATAAATCAAGAAGAAATATCTGATAACCCAGAACATTTCATAGAGTATCTAACTTGGTAGGAAAGAAAAAAAAGTCACAAGAAACTTCCATGAATAAGTGCCTTGACGGAGGTTCTAGATGGACTGTATCCTAACAGTATCAGCCACTAATTCTTTTGCTGCAATTTCCTTTCAATTGTAAGACTTTGTGCTGAAAATCCTTAGCCAGAGAACACCATTAACTTGACACAGAGTAGTTATAAAATACCAATAGGATTTCCTTCTAAAGAAAGCAGTTTTGATAAGATGTTTCTTTATTATTACTAAATTAGAACTTACTGGCAATTTTCTTTTATGCAGCCATTCTCATTACTTGTGTTTACTCCAACCTGGGCTGGAGCGGAAAGTAGACTATCATTTCCAACTTGATTTACCTTCCTTAACAATCTTCAGTATTCCTTAGCACCATTTGCTCAACACCTATCCACTGAGTCCTACTATGTGCCAGGCACTGTTCTAGGCACTAAAGGGTGGCACAGTGGTGAAAAAGACAGATGTGGCTGCTCTCTTTACGGTGATTATATCCTCATTGGGAGCAGGATGTTGCTGTTTATTGTATTTTTCAAACAAGTGATAATAAATAATTTCACATTGTGAAAAGGACCATGAAGAAAAGAATCCTGTGATACAGAATAGTTAAGGGAAGTGTGTAACACTCCATTAAATAGGTGGGTTTTGAAAGGCTTCTCTAAAGAGGTAACAGTTGGGCTGAGGCTTGACAAAAAAAAGGAGAACTCACCACAGAAAAGCTGTGGAAGAACATATCGGTTAGAAGAAACTGCAAATACAAAGACCCTGAGGCAGGAAGAATCTCAGCATGTTCAGAAAAGCAAAGGGGTGATGATATATGCCTGACAGAGGGTAAGGTAGTCAAAGAAAAGGGTGGCAAAGCATGTCTAGTAAGGAATGTATGTTTAACTCAAGTGGAAGCCAACAAAGGTATCAAGCATAATCTAATTCACATTGAAACATTCACATTGAATAACTTCTATTTAAAGGTTGGGGAAAGAAGACAGACCATCTTAGTTGGTGATCAGAGCATCCAGGCAAAGGGTGAGTTGGATTTAGTTGTGACCACTGAGGTGAAGAGAAAAGAATGAATTTATATATTATATACACTGAGGGTACTGCTAGAATTTACTAATTACACTGGATATGAGGAGAGCAAGGGAAAGAATAGAATCTTAGATTTTGGGATAGTGGACAGTGGGGCATTTATTGAAATGGGAAAGGCTGAGCTAATAACAAGTGTTGGAGGTTAAAAAAATACAAGAGTAGATCATGTTGATTAGAAGTGACATTTATTTTTTGTTTTTAAAAAAATTTTTTTTAATGTTTATTTATTTTTGAGACAGAGAGAGACACAGCATGAATGGGGGAGGTTCAGAGAAGAGGGAGACACAGAATCTGAACCAGGCTCCAGGTTCTGAGCTGTCAGCACAGAGCCCGACGTGGGGCTGGAACTCACAGACCGTGAGATCATGACCTGAGCTGAAGTCGGACGCTTAACCGACTGAGCCACCCAGGCGCCCCTAGAAGTGACATTTAAATAAATCTTCAAAAATATTTTTCCTTTTCTGTAAGCCATTTTGGGGTTTTAAAAATCTTCCTTCTTAGACTACATGAATATGATATTAAGGCTAGATAGCTGTATAGGTATGTAGCTGGACAGGGACTATCTGCCAGTTAGTCAAAATGTCTTGCAAAACTTAATTTTAAAACAAACAAACAAACAAACAAACACCTCTTTCTTCAGAAGAATTAAGTGAAATCACAAAATGTGAAATATTCTGATTGGGTCAGGGTAGCAGCTTGTAGCCATCCTGTCTCCAAATAGCCCCCCGATGAGATAGTTCACTGGCGTCTCCATAGAGCTTCCTGGTGGATAGTCTGGCATAGATCCACGCTGCTCCTAACTCAGCTGGAAGGAATGAGTGAGCAATAAAAGGTCACGTGATGCTACCAGCCTCAGATTAGAAGCTGACTGCTCCCTTAACTCAATAGTGTACAACATTCCTTTCCTCCAGCACCACACTTTGCATTTCAAGGTAGATCAACAACTCTAAAGTGGAAATGCAGCGGTAATGAATGCAGGCATGATGAAGGAAAATATTTTATTTTTTGAAACATATGGGTGGTACTAATATCTAAGAGGAATAATAACAAATAAGTGTTACAAAAGTTCACTTACAGCCTTTGGGAAAGAAAAGGAAGTATTCAGAGCTCACGTAGTAAGACAAATGTAGTAGATTGGTCCTTAGAGTCCAGTTTATTAAAAATAATTTTACTAAGGGAGCAATCCAAGCCAAGGTTACCCTTCCATTCAGTAAGAGTAACAAAGGACTTCCAATTTATTTTCAAGGAGGTTGCCTTAAACAGCAAATCAATATCATGTTCAATAGCTGAATACTTCTCATGTTTGTAACCACTCAAAATTCACCGTTAGAGGTAGCTTTCAGCTACACAATGTGGTGGAATTCATATCCATAAACTATTAGGGATTCAAGTAAAATATTTTCCTACTAGATAATGCATATATACATGCTCATTTCTCTTCAGGAAACTGGGAATATCTGTTTTGACGAAATCACATAAAAGTTTTACATAGTTTTTTGCTATATATTTAGAGTGACATTAAATGCCCCCAAAACAATTTGGAAATCCACTTTGTCCCCTACTGCCTTTCAACTTGGTAGTAACATTAAGGGTTAAGTTTATGCAAAATTTAAGAAACTTAATGGCTTCAGGATCTTACCAGTCTCACAGTATGGTTCACCATCCTCCAAATGAAAAACATTATTACGAATGGGTTTTCCACAGGCCACACACACAAAACAGGAAACGTGCCAAGTTTGTTTCAAAGCATTGATGACCTCCTGTTACAGAAAGGCAATTGGATATAAAGAAAGATGATCATACACAGATGCTTACTCTATTAGTTGTACCAACACAGCCCTTTTAAACTGACCCAATGTAGGCACACGCTTTGTCGTTACCATCAGCTTTTCCTCTAAAGACACACTCACAAATGGTCTAAACTGATACCCTATATAATACGTGTGTTTTCCACAAATACCCATCAGTAAACTTATTTAAATAACGACTGTTGTGTTACTTAAACATTATATATGGAGTGAATGAAGTAAGCATTTCATAAGTACTTGCTGTAATACATTCTGCTTTCTCTCAAAAGGGTGTCAGGGAATATTACATAGGTTTCATAGTATTATCTTGAAAATGTCATGGAGGGAAAAAAAAAAGAAAAGGAAATGTCATGGAGGAAGGGCAAAATGTTCAAAAATTAAAACAAACCTATGCTTTGGTGTATTATGGGAGTAATAACATAATCAGTGTAATCCAATCAGCTTAACACATGTTTACAGTTCTGGAAATCAGCTGTGACTACACTAAGCACACACTCAAATGAGCATCTAAAATTTGAACCACAAATTATGGATTCTAGTCAACAATGACCCAATGGTTAAAAATACCAAGTATCAAAACAAAACGAAACAAAACAAAACAAAACAGCAAGTATCAAAGACTTGGGCCAGAGTTTAATTAGTAAAAGAAGTCTTATTAAGAAGCTGGTTTTGCAAGGAATCATTTCTTTGGATTGACAGAGATGGAGCCATTAAACATTATTTTTTGAAGATGAGTTAATAACATGGGATTTACTCTTTTATCACAAAAAAAGAGGATGCTACACATAAAGTATGGTTACAATTTTGTAAATGAATTACAAAGAGCAAATTGGAAGAAAATACATCCTAAGCTTAACAGGAATTATCTGGGACTGGTAAATATATAGGTCATTTTAATATTCTTCTTTACATCTTTTTGGTATTTTCTAATTATTTAGAGTGAAATATTTTTATAATAAAAACCTGTCAAAATACAATGATACAGAGTAAGTTATTAGCCATAGAAAATGCAACAGTTGCCTAGTGATGGATAATGGGAAGACATGGCAGTTATTTAGGTCCAAAAAGATCACCATGAAAATGTACAACAAATACACACTGAACCAAATCATTTCTCATGGCTCTTAGCATTTACTTCCCTTTCTATCCTTGAGACTGATTCCTATCCCTTAGAACAGGCAATTGAACAACTGAAACACAACCCAGAGGATCTGTCCCTGTAGTGAAGTGCTGGCCCATCTCTAAGGCAATGAGGATAAGATTTCCATTTCCTACAACCTCATTTGGTTCTAAGACTGTTACCTGACTTTGTGTTATTAATGATTCTAGAATTCCATAGACTGTATTTATATACAGTATTAACATATATTCAACTTATTATTTGTCACTTGGGAAGGTATAGCCCGTATGTTGCTACTTTTTTGTTCCCAACATATTGTACAAATTAATAATACAGAAATATTTCATGAAGAATATTTATAATTTAAGTGTCCTCAAAGTTTCAGACCCACTTAAAGATGTAACATGAAATTAACACTACTCAATAATTTATACTAACTTTTCTCTCAACTGACACAAATTAAACTTTCATTATTACATTTTTTATAGAGAGAATGGCAGAATTCAGCAATGCCATCTCCATCTTCTGTATTAGCTTTAGGAGTTTCGTATGGGACCAGGCACCTTGGCCACTTCCAAAATAAAATTCCAACTCCTGGTCACCCACAGGAAATGACTGACCCTTTCTTTGCAAATTGCAAACTGAGTATTCCAGAGCAGGAAATTCATTCATTCATCATTATTCATTATGTATCTGACTCCTACATTACTTCCTTTTCGAAAAGGGAAAAAAAAAAAAAAAAAAACGGTGGTTAGATTATTTTTCTATTACATGTCTACTCTCATAAAATAGGTTATATTTTTAAACATTATATGCATTTAAGAAAAATATATCATTTATAAGCTTCATGTCTTATATATTTCATGAGATCTGTGCCCTGTGCTTGAACCCTGACAAATAGGGAAATGCTGGTCTTATAAAAGCTATGGAATTTAATTTAAAACAGTGAAGGTGTCAGTTCTGAGAACTCTGATGTGTGTGGTCCTGTGCGACCTCTTCATTCCTGAGCAAACAGGGTCCTGTTGAGGTAGCACACCCACAGTAAATTATTTTTTCCCCCACAGTGGCTAGACTTTCCCCAGACAAGCGAGCACTCAGTAAGACAAACCCAAAGACAACTTAACCCCACGAGTCCGATATACTTCTACAGAGGTCTATTTAGTTTTGCTTTACAATAATAAACAGTGATGAAAACAGAGAGGGGATCAAGCAAGAAGAAAATAAAAAGGAAAACTGATGTAAGGGTTTCAAAACAAAAAAATTATTGTGCTTTAAAGCTCATTCAGAATAAACAGGTTTCTGATACTTACTCCAAGGATCTTCCTTTGGCATCGACCACATTCAGGAGCGAAGAATTTCTCATAGCACAGCTCACAATACAGGGATCCCTTTTCCTCTACAAATCCAATGTAGGCCATTGTATTTTTGCAGTGAGCACAGTTAAACTCTTCTGGGTGCCAAGATTTCCCCAGTGCCACTAGGAATGGTCCCCTGCCAGAAGAAAAGAGATCGAGTTGACTTGGGAATAAAAGTTTCTAAAGTTAGCTTGGACAGAACCTCTTTTATGCAATGGCCAAACAATTAAATACTTGCTCAATTATCCTTCTCAAGGGCTGAAAACATAGGGGCAGTAAATTTACATAGGAACTCTCTGAGCATTTATGTGAAGAGAACAAAGGGGAGGAGTAAAAAGCACTTAAGGGATTCCTTCAAGAAAGGCCATTTCCCCCACTTTTTTTCATCTTCAACAGATTTGGTGGTTATGTTTTTTGAGTTGCAATGAGTGGGTCTGTCTGCATCATGATTATGAATGAGAATGAGGATGTTAACCCAGACATAAAATGAAATAACCAGGAAAAAAAATACATGGTTTAGACAGAGATGAGAAGTTGGCATTTCTATAAAATAGACAAAAGAGAAATCTCAATTTGGTAATGTCAGGAGTCTTAAAAACAGTAATAATTATTACCTGAGAAAACACTGCAGTCAATTTCTCTTCCCCACACATTGTTTCATATACTTATTTCTCAAATGTTTCTGACCCCTCCAAATAGACTATGGAAACTGTCAACTGGATATTAGAGACTGTTTTGAAGCTACTTAGAAAGGTTTTATTTAATTAAAACATGACTGATTTTTAATGCACATTTGTTTCAAGGTAACAAATGTTTGTAAAGAGATTTTTTTCCATTAAATACCATATAGTCATGAACTGATAAGACGGGTTTGGTTTCCTTGACAGGAATCCATTATGAACCCTTATCTAGTCATGAAGCCTGCAGAGATGAACCATTCTAGCCTCTGCAACGTACTTTTCAGTAGCTCCATGCCACTAATTTTTATTCACAGAGTGGCTTTACCTCCAAGGCACTTTTACACTTATCCAATTTGTCCATACAACATTCCTGTGAGATAGACCAGGGCAGTTATTACAAACTCAGTTTAACAGATGGAGAAGCTGAGATACAGAATGTTCAAAAGATTGACAAATATCATAAAATCACTGAGTGAAGGCCAGAAGCTGAATTTACTGATTTGTAGCAAACTGGTGTAGTCAACTGAATGTTCTGCTTTTCATCTCATTACCATCAATTATCATCACTGAGTGACCACACAGTTAATTGTCAGTGAGCACGGATACCTGACTTCTAGGCAGATTATAGGAAAAGTCATAGTAATGAGCATCACAAAATCGAAGCATTTTTTTTTTTAATTTTTTTTTTCAACGTTTTTTATTTATTTTTGGGACAGAGAGAGACAGAGCATGAAAGGGGGAGGGGCAGAGAGAGAGGAAGACACAGAATCGGAAACAGGCTCCAGGCTCTGAGCCATCAGCCCAGAGCCTGATGCGGGGCTCGAACTCACGGACCGTGAGATCGTGACCTGGCTGAAGTCGGACGCTTAACCGACTGCGCCACCCAGGCGCCCCGAAGCATTTTTTAGCCTTTAATGATAACATAAACCTTAGTATTCAGTAACTATTTCCCACTGGGAAATTCTTTGCAAATACAGTGATGTTTACTCAGAACCAGCACCTAATCCTCCAAGAGTCAAAAAAGTAAAAAAGTTCTTGATGAATGATAAAAATGTGTTCTTTGAGGTATAAGAGGGTATTTTCTAGCCTCATTTTTTGTTAACTTGTTTTCTATTCATAACATGATGCCACTTTTATCAGCTGGTGCATGCAGTTCTCCTGAGCATTTGAGACAAATACTTTATTATTATGTTTTTAAGCTTTAGGGCACCATAGTTTTGTTATCACTAACAAGGAGTGCCTTTGTTAACTAATTCCTGCCAGAGAAAGAAAGGGCTATAGATCACTTATTCTGTAACCAAATATGTTACTTTGGGTAGGTTGTCCCTCAATTTTTAATTGGATAATAAATAACAGTTCTACTCAACAAGCTCCTTCTTCTCATTTTCTCAGTATATATTCAAAGATAAACCAAGGAGTCACAATGCTCAAAGCTAGACAAAGTTTCATGAGTCCACTGAGCTTTTCCACCAAGTGGGTATCTGGTTATACAAGCTTGAAAAGGCTGCCAGGTTCAATTTACTGTGACCTTAACATAGAGTCTGGTAGAACTGTGCTAACATTTGCTTGGACACTAAAGGCAGATTTCAAAGAATTTGTTAGACTGAATTTTTTTTTATGAGGGCACATCTTCCAGCTCCTCCATAGGCTGGATGGCCCCTGAAGGCCTGTATCTGTATTCAGCTTTCCAGTTTGCAAAAGTCAATCTAATCAAACTCCACATTCCGTATGGATGCACTTGAGAGCTTTCTCCACAAACATGGCTGTCAGTGCCAGCAAATATTTAACAAAATTCATCTGAGAAAAGAACAACTGATTGAGGAGTACACACTCCATTTTTAGATTTCCTAAAATATGTGTTGAAACCAAGTCAGACCAGCAGAGAAGGAAGTTCTGCGTTTCATGGCATATTGGACCTGATTCATTCCACAGAATGATTCCTTTAATGACTGGTGCTCAGCCTGACACCATCAGTCTACACTGACACTTGTCCTAGGAAACAGCCCTGTGACAGTCACCCTTGCTCCTCCTCTAAGTTGCTATCGAGAGTGTTATCTGTTAGAGATCATACAGTGTCATTTCCATGTGGACTCTCTGGAGAAAGTCCTTCAGGTTTTTGTAGTAAGAACAGTTTTGCTTCTTCTGAGCAATAGGGTTTTTACTCATCGTACAGTAAATTTAAAAATTAACTTTCTTTGTTGACCACTAGAAGGCTTAAAGCCAAATTGAGTCAAACCCTAGGCAAGTATGTAAGGTCATTATTATAGGTTTTGTCAAGTCTCAATGAGCACATTTTTGACCAGTCTTCATTTTTAATGGTCCCATTCATGATTTTCATTATTCTTTTGCTTCCTTTTATAATTTAGAAGATTTTCTTATATTTCATGTATTCTTAAAACTGTTTTTAAAAGGTTTATAGAATAGTGCCTAGTACAAATACATTAATTAAATTGATTAAAACTATCATCAGTTGAGGGACACCTGGGTGGCTCAGTCAGCTGAACGTCCGACTTTGGCTCAGGTCATGATTTCATGGCTTGTGAGTTGAAGCCCTGCGTCGGGCTCTGTGCCTGCTTTGGATTCTGTCGTCTCCCTCTCTCTCTGCCCCTTCCCTGTTCTCTCTCTCTCTTCTCAAAAATAAACACTAAAAAAAATTAAAAAAAAAAAACCTATCACTGAAAGAATAATGTTAAGATACCTCCTTACTTTCTTATCAAATCTAAATAGTGAAATGTCTTAACAACAGTAAAGAAACACCCTCTGCACCCTTAAAAACTGAGCTGAATATAACTTTTGTTCATGCCAGAGCTCCTTTCTTAAACATGCTCAGTGTACTACTGCCCCAACCAGGTATTCCCTGGCCCAGCGGAAAGAGCACCTTTCCCTTCATGTTCTTGAAGTTATGTATAGATGAAACAATAAAATCTCTTATATATAACAGAGTACTCTTTTCTGTGTTGGCAGAGACTAATTTAACAAATTCATTAACACAGGATTAACACTGAAGAAGTTCTTCTTGTTCCAAGTAGATTGGGTTTCCATCTGTGACCTGGACAGACAGGCTTGGGTAACAGCAAAGTGGAATTAAGTTTGCAGCTACCTCTCTTCCAGTCCTCCACGCCACTGTCTTTCCCAAGTACTCCTTGACTGACAAAGGAAGAGACAGGAAAGAGTTAAAACACTGACTGGCTGACAAAGAGTTAACCTAGCTCATGAAACTTTTTACCCTCTTGATCTTCTGTTGAGACTTATACCAAAAAGAAAAGAGAGACAGAGAGAGAGAGAGAGAGAGAGAGAGAGAGAGAGAAAGGAAAGGTGGGGAAAGATGTCAAAAGTAACAGGAAAAGAAAAGCTTACATGGTGAGAGGGTGAAAGGGGTTGCAAATTTCAACAGGCATAACCTAACAGGGATTCAGCTTCAAAATCAAATGCTCCCTTCTTGCCTCCCTTTGTAATTTAACTTGAACAATAACTCTCAGTGATAGAAATTGCTCTATAAATAGATGAAGAAAATATCAGAAGCTACCTAACATTCCTAAGATCATGTGGATGATAACTGTAAAGCTGGCATTCTAAGGCCTAGCTACTGGAGATTAGAAATTATATCTGACCCAAAGTTACTGCATCAATAGAAGTTAAAAATTTTAAAAAGCTAAGAAAATCAAAAGAAGTTAATCAAAGCTACATGAAAAAACAACTTGTGCTCAAAGACAAAAATGGCATCTGATATTCTACTTAATTAGATATAATAAAAATGTATACACCAATTTTATATTATTAATACGATCAAATTTTGGAAAGGGCTTGGCATGAGCAAGGTGTCCAAGAACAATGGAACCACAGGAAGAGTTTTCTGAAACAGAAAAGATCACTGGAAAAAACCACACACATACATTCACAAATACAAAGACATATGCAGGGAGAGTAAAAGAGAATGAAATACACTCGAACATGACAGTGAAACACACTCCCTTTCAATACTTACAATACTCACAATTAGCAATAGGAACAATCCTTCCTAAAATTAGAAGTGCGGCATTTCCAGTAAACTGTGCCCAAACTTTCCAATTTGGAGCATTAAATAATATATTTCTATTTTTACTGAGTATCATCTTTAATTTGTAAGCCCATTAAAATACTGCTTTTAAAAGGTTGTGAGGCCAACTGTAGCTTTTTATTTTAAAGACATAAATGACTCACTGCCCAAAAATATATGCACAGGTAAAATGAGCCTGAACATAACAGTGAATAAAAAGGACAAGTTCTAAAAAAGGTAATATTAACTGATAATTCTTTAAGTCTATTGGAGACAATTATACTCAATTATTTATATTGGTTATTATAAAATCCACGAAGCAGGAAAATGTGATTCTATATATTAAGACAAGTGAGGTATAAATTCAACTTGGAGAAACTGTTATCATACATTCCTCCAAATACTTTTTAAAAGTTCAGT